TTACCAAACAAATTAATTTTTTTCAGCCATTTGTTGCCTTTCTCAATTGGATGATTTTATTTTACTTTAACAATAAATTAGTCAGAGTACTGACTAATTTACTATTTACTATCTTTGAGAGATAACTGAGTACTGACTTGGTCGTCAGAGTGCCCCCGGGTAAACGAACCACCGTTGGAGTCTTATCTTTCTGTGACAGGTTGTTCGGGCATGATCTACTCTGCATGTGCTCTCCTGCTGAGTTCTTGTTTGGCAATGTGGTCGGAAATTAGCATCCACACAAAATACAAAATAAGTTATTCCGTAATTCATCAAATAGAATTGAAAGAACATATAAAATTGTTACATACACATATACATATATAAAATATATAAAATCTCAAATCCAAGACATAAATATACAAAAATCCAAGATATATACATATATATTTGTTTGGAGAGGCTCTAGGGCTCTTTAATTGTAGCCATCAAAAAAGTAGGATCGTAAAGTAGCTAATCCAATAGCCAGTCCATTGAAACTCAAAATTAGAGTTACATTGGCTAAAATGCCTAACAAACCTTTTTTAACTATCTCGTTGGAGATGCTCTTAGTTACTTAGATGATAGTACATATGGCTGGTAGGATGAACGTTTTAAATTTAGGCAAATCATATTCAATGTCAGGAATATAAGTTCGAATCCTTGCCTATATGTGAGTCCATGACTTATTCTTATATGGTTGAATAGTCCTTTCATGTAGCAGCACCTAAGGGTGATTTGGGGAGTCTCAACTCCTTAAGATCTAACTCCAAAGGTCACACCCTTCTGTGATGAGGTTTTTCTTTAAAATTAGATTTTGAACAACGTAATAAAGCTTTGAGATCTTAAATTCTACTCTTCCTAGGCCTAGCTATTTGGACGACATTATTATATATGGTTAGTAGTACGAATCTTTCAGACCTAGGCGAACTGTACTTAGTGTTAAGACTGTGGGTTCGAATCCTCACCTCGCAACTTATCGCTATATGGTTGAGTAATCCTACTATGTAATGCCACATAAGAATGATCTTTGGAGTCTTAGCTTGTTAGGATCTAGCCTTAGAAGTCACCCCTCTGTAATTAGGCGTTTAAAATTAGATTTTGAGTTTTTTATTTTTAGTGAATTTTTTAAATGTCCTGATCAATTTTTTTTACATGCATCTAATTTAGATATACTCAAAAAGTAAAATCTTTTAAAAAATTCAATAAATACAAATATTACTTTTGGAGTACAACTAAATTTAATGCATCTAAAAAAAATCAAAATATTTAAAAAATTACTATAAAAAAAAACTAATTGAAAACTCAAAATTTAATTTTAAAAACTAGATAACAAAAGAGAGCATGCTTTTCTGTTGGACAATAAAAAAAGTAATTTTATTTTCATGTTGTCGTAAATTTTTGTGTAAAGTGTAATATTTTTTCTATTTAATTAAAGGATAAATTACATTTTACCTCATTTATATCTGATGATTTTTTCATTTTGACACTTGAAATTTTATTTATTTATTTATTTTTATCATTTTGGATCTTCATATTTTAAATTTTTTTTCAATTTACTTCTAAAACTAATTAACATTCAAAATTAGACAAACAATATAAAAAATATATCTATATAATAAAGGAGGATGATTTTTGAATTTGTTCTACACACATTTGTCATACTAGAACATTTAGACGGTTCAGATTTGTTCAAATTATAAAATAATGACTGGGATATATTTCTCCAAAATACACCCTACATATACATTTTTTACTTTCCTGCTTCTCTCTTACTTCACATTTCTTTCTCTTTTCTTTTTATTTTTCTCCCATATTTATTTTTCCTCTATTTGTTTATTTTTTTCTTTTTGTTCAATATATTTTACACATATTTTCATATAATGTATGTATGTCTGTAATACATTATGACATACATAAAATTTCCATATAATTATATAAGCAAAAGTAACATTATATGTGTGTCCTTAAAAATTGTATGTATTCCAGACATATCTAGTTATATATTTTATAAATAAAAGTGAATTTTGTGAAAACTTCAAAACTCAAATTTATGATTTTATCAAATTAAAAAATAATATTAAAATTGTAATTATATTCTAATCTATTTCGGCGCAGTGCATATACGTGAATAATAAATATGTTCCACATGTGTATACAACATGAATTGATGGTCTGGATAAAATGGGCCCAAATTTGCAAAAAACATAGATGGGAAATAAAAAGATGACTGTCCAATTAGGAGAGACCAATCAGGCGTTATTGGGCCAAGGAAGCACCGGCCCGTAATCCTTCCACTGTGGAGAGCGGGAGGTAGTCGCTGCTCTGTGAAACCAGCCTCACGCTGTGCCCTCCGCTTTAGGAACCTCGAGACCTAAGCTTTCGCCTGGGCCCCGAAGCCCAACTCCCCACTTGGAACGGGCAGGCCAGCAAGCAGCAACCAATGGCTCTACCTTCTGGGCCGATCCCAAGTCCAGCCACCCTAATGCCCCCACTTGGGTTACAAGCTCTCGCGACCGAGCTCGGCGATTGTATGCACCCGAACCCAACATTATAAACAATTCACTATCTCCATTCTCTACCGATGTGGGATAAATAAAAGCTAACACATTAGACTAATGAAACACTTCTTCAAATAGCACAATGAAATTGTTTGTACGATTATATCTGTTCATGATGTTGCAACTTCTTCCAGAATTCTAACCGATTCATCAAAATTTATTAAAATCTCATGGAAATTGACTTGTTTGTTCTCTCCTTCATCAATGACATATAAGAACAGCCAGTGATTATCTTCTTACTGAACTGGGTAGTGGCTGTTCTTGAAGCACCTATATGCAATCTTTTCCGGCTTCGGTTGCAAATTATGCCTCCCCACTTTCACATGTTTCTTTTCAAAACAGTACAATTAATGTTTCGATGATAGAAATTTCTGCTATATATATGTTCATTACTTGGAAAACCATTGACTGAACAACGAACAAGTGATGTTCACACCATTCACGTTCATAAATAATAATTAAAAATTTAGAGTGATTTTACTTACACTAATAATTTATTTCTTTATACCTTTCATCTTGTTATATTACTAAAAAAAAAAGTGATTCTCGTTACACATATTATACTATCAAAATTAATCTTAAACTAAAAACTCTTCAAAACCCTTTCAGTTTTGTTTCTTTACACTAATAACTTTTGGTAAATACAATATTAAAGAATTTGAATTACTTCAGTGTTACCAAACAAATTACTTTTTTTCAGCCATTTGTTGCCGTTCTCGATTGGATGATTTTATTTTACTTTAACAATAAATTAGTCAGAATCCATTTGTGAAGTGTCTGTCTGGTTATATATTGCTATACCAATTAGATTACTCCAATGTCATGTTGTCGAATTAAAATAAATTTATTTAGTTACTTATTGCTTTACGTGCGTTGTAAATTATCTTCATAGTTGTCGCATTAAAGGCATCTCTTCGTTTTAATGTACTAATATCTCTTTTGATCGTACCATACTTTTTGACATGTCAACTAACAAGGATATTTCCTCTTCTACCAGCAAATGAGTGTCCTTCAAGAAATGTGACAACCGGATGATTTTACTTGCATTGTTTCCATGAATAGAAATATAATCATTCTAAGCAGAAAAAAAAAAAAATCTAAAAATACACGGTAATGAGTAACTGAACAAATTAAAAACTTTCGGCTTCTATTACTGGAGATATATCTTTTATTCGATAGTAGGTTACTAGACATATATTTTTTGTTTGACAATATGATTTTGGATTATTTTATTTTATTCAATTTTGACACACTGAACAAAAGTTGAAACTCTCAAAAAACGAAACGAAAACCTATCAAACAAATAAAAATACTCACCATTTCATTTTTTTATGATTTTTCACTACTATTTCTTTATCCATTACTTTCTTCTATGATCAAAACACTATGATTCTCATTTTTTAAAAAGAGATATGTAACAAAGAAAAAGTGAGAAATTGAGAAAAACAGTAAGATTGAAGAACAATGGGAGTAAAGAGATAATAAAATATATTTAATTTTAGTCTTTTGTCCTTAAAAGTAATTTCACACGAGTAAAATTGAAAGAAAAAAAGGACACGTTGCACATAGAAGGTGTAAAGAGAAAAATTAATGATGCAAGTAAAATCATTCTAAAATTTATTGTAGTTGACAAAATCACCCATTATTATATGGGAAAATGAGCCGTAGCTCGAATATATTAGCTCGAATTGGCTCGAAAGTCCTCGCCTCCCTCGCCTCTTTTCTTTCTTCTTTTTTTCTCTTTTCCTTTTCTTGTTTTTCAATACAGACAGGGGAGAAAGAGGGAGAGAAGAGAGTAAGAAGAGAGGAGAAGAGAAAGAGGTGGGGAAGAGGGAATGGAGAGAAGAGAGGGCCCCTGCGCTTCCGCCGTCGGTCGATCGTCGCAGCTCGTCGCTCATCCCTCGTCGCAGCTCGTCCGCCGTCGCCTCCGCCTCCTCCGTCTCTGCCTCTTTCTTCTTTCTCTTCTTCTTCTTCTTCTTCTGGTTGATGTTGGCCCATCCGCTTCTGGTTCTGCTTCACCTTCATCTTCAAAAAAACGAAAATAAATCTCCAAAACGGCATGGTTTTGGATTCGAGCCAATGTCGAGCTTGACAATTTCGAACAACGTAGCAGTTCCGTATTATATGTCACATTTCATTCATTCAAATAAAATAGTGTCCACTTTTCTTACTATTATTAATCTGCAAATTTTATTCCACTCCTGGTGTTCTATTGCCACAAAAAATAAAAAAATAAAATCTAAAAGCAACGAATCATACTATTTCAACTAATAAAAATAAATTGGGAGCACCACATATTTTTTACCAGAATCATCAATAGTTTTTTCACAAATGCATTATATACGAGTAGTTGAAACTAGTATACATGCTCAGTTTGAGTGTCTACCTATGCCAATATTGCTCACAGAACATGATGTCTACAATTGAGTCCAACACAATCACAAATTCAAAATTCTCAACTGATTTTTTACAATATAAAATAATAAACAAAACTGTCAACTCAACAAAGAATAAAATGATTAAAAAAAATGATTGCCCATAAATTTCATAGCTATACGTACTACAGGCAGCAAATTATTCAGCACTAAGTGAAGAAAGAAAATAGAATGAGGGGTAAAAGGAAAGAAAAATTAATTTTCACAAGACAGAAGAATAACATGCCCTATTGAACCAATCATTTCTTTGAACATCTTCTTAAGCATGAAGGTGCTCTTCAATGTAGACCCGACTGCAACAAAGTTCAAACACAAACAAATTTCTTGCCCGAACTTCTGAACGAGGCCTTCAAACAGATCTTCGAGGTCTCACTTATCAAGGAAAGTCAATCATTGATATTGAATCCGGAGTAGTTGTCTTAACTTGAGTATTTGGAACTGGTTGGGGAGCCTCTATCATGGCTTGACTACTTGTTAATGAGGCTGGGACACTTTCCCCAACGACAATTGGATCCATATCACCCGCTGAGGGAGTAGGATTGCTTGCAGCTGGAGCACTTGATTCAAATGGAACAAGAGCGTCTGATTCTGGTGGAAAAAGAGCACTCGATTCCAAGGAAGCTGGAGCACTTGACTCTGAGGAAGCTGGAGCACCTGATTCAGAGGGAACTGAAGCATTTGACTCTGTAGAAAGTGGAGCACTCAACTCTGATGGAGGTGGAGCACTTGATTCTGATGGAGGCAGTGCACTTGACTCTGATGGTGGTGGAGCACTAGATTCTGATGGTGGAGCACTAGCTGATGTGGTAGCAGGAGGTGCTTCTAATAGCATTGGCTTGCCTGGTTGTTGCAGCTGCGAACCCTGTGTGATGGTACCGGGTTTTTTTTGACCTGGATTGGGACCATATAGAGATGCCATCCCGGGGGGCAGAATTTCAATCGGTGGCTGCTTCGCTGCATCTGCCAAACTTGTGAGCTTGGGTTCTTCGAGGGAAGCCAGAAATGCAGCTGCAGCGTCGGTCTTTGTTGATGGTGTGTGCTCTTTCTCCCTCTGTAGCATTTTGTTCCATGTTTGAACCAAGTTCCTCAATGTTGTTCTCCCGTGCGCCTGGAGAAAATGAGTCGGGTTAGATCACAATACTAAAAATTTAAGGTTTTAGAAAGTAGTGTGGGGATAAGATAAGTATATACTTGGGCATGAAGGACGGCCTCAGCAAGCATGCCGGTCTCCTGCCACGCTTTCTCCATGAGAGTGTTGTCTCCCAAAACTGCAGCTGCAAATGCTGCTTCTCGCCCTGAGCCGACTGAGATCAAATTATTTACCAAATTCTGCAAAAAAATACATGTAATGATCATAAGTAGTTATGTTAAGCCTACACATTCATGGCATTGATGATCACTTTCAGACCTATGAACAGCAAGATTTACAAAACCAAGAATTACGTCTTCGAGTTCTTGGTAAAAAAAAGAACCCGGTGCACCATAGAGACCAGTGAACATAACTGAAACTGAACCATTAAGTTAAGAATTTACTCATGAGCTAAGACAACGCATCCATGGAAATTACATCACTTCATTTTAGCAATTTATCACTTCTATTATTACCCAACACTCTGAAGCACTTTCCCATTGCATCCACCATCATAAACAATGTTCTCTTCAATTTCTCCTTGCTTGGGTATCATCAAATATATCACACACTGTCACCTTAGATTATTTCATTCCTGCTTTTGGGATTTTACAGAAAATATTCATTTATTTTTTTCTTACTCTATACATAACCTTAAAACCTTAAGATTCTGAAGTATTTCTTCGTGGTTCAAACAGAAAAATCAAGCCCTTATCCAATTTACTCAATACAACGTCATCAGTGAACAAAACAAACCACGACCATCCTCATCAACATTTGTTCAGGAAAAAAAAAACATCCTCTTCAACATGCCTAGTAAGTTCATCCATGTGTAGAAAAGAGCAAAAAGATACAAGCTCAATCTTGATCCTCAAATGTAAGCCTACTTAGAAAATTGGCTTCTCTCTCATCGTCACATGTTCTTAATCATAGTAACATATCTATTTTGGTACTCATTTCTTAAGTGACATTGTTTATTTATGACACATTATATATAAGGATTTATGCAACATTATCCTATTTGTTTTATAGAATAGATGAAGCAAAACAGGTGGCATGCAAAATATAGTCGTTGATATTTAATAGCATGCATCAGAAAGCTCAAATCAACAACACTATACAACAGAAACATGATAAAAACTGCACATACACTCAGTCGCGTCAACTCTCCATGATTCGCAAGGCGTAAAGCTAGGCCTCTTAACTCATCACCCTTCAAGGCTCCCTTCACTGAACTTGCAGCAGCTAACCTCTTAGTAGCTTCACGAGCAATATCAACTTGTGCAGTAGCATCTGCAGCATCAATAAGATCCATAAATTCCTTCGCAAATTTCACTACTCCTTGGACAGCATCCAC